AATTTCGTCGCCGGAGACCGATGGCGCCGCGAAAACGTCACTCGCAGCGCCGCTGAAACGCCTTCGCGGAATAATCCCTCGTAAAGTAGACGCGCGGCGAAGTTCCGCCTGTATTACTCCGCACGTAGGAAAGGCAGGCAGGCAGACAGGCAGGCAGGCAGGCAGGCAGGCAGGCAAGCAGGCAGGCAGGCAATCAAGAAGGAAGGAAGGAAAGAAGGAAGGAAGGAAGGAAGGGAAGGAAGAAGGAAGGAAGGAAGGAAGGAAGGGAAGGAAGGAAGGAAGGAAGGAAGGAAGGGAAGGAAGGAAGGAAGGAAGGAAGGAAGGAAAGGAAGGAAGGAAGGAAGGAAAAAAAAAAGGAAGGAAGGAAGGAAGGAAGGAAGGAAGGAAGGAAGGAAGGAAGGAAGGAAGGAAGGAAGGAAGGAAGGAAGGAAGGAAGGAAGGAAGGAAGGAAGGAAGGAAGGAAGGAAGGAAGGAAGGAAGGAAGGAAGGAAGGAAGGAGGAAGGAAGGAAGGAAGGAAGGAAGGAAGGAAGGAAGGAAGGAAGGAAGGAAGGAAGGAAGGAAGGAAGGAAGGAAGGAAGGAAGGAAGGAAGGAAGGAAGGAAGGAAGGAAGGAAGGAAGGAAGGAGGAAGGAAGGAAGGAAGGAAGGAAGGAAGGAAGGAAGGAAGGAAGGAAGGAAGGAAGGAAGGAAGGAAGGAGGGAAGGAAGGAAGGAAGGAAGGGAGGGAGGGAGGGAGGGAGGGAGGGAGGGAGGGAGGGAGGGAGGGAGGGAGGGAGGAAGGAAGGGAGGGAGGGAGGGAGGGAGGGAGGAAGGAAGGGAGGAAGGAAGGAAGGAAGGGAGGAAGGAAGGAAGGAAGAAAGGAAGGAAGGAAGGAAGGGAGGAAAGCAGGCAAGCAGGCAGGCAGGCAGGCTTTGCGCCTTCTCGTGCCTCGTAATTTACGTCGGACTCACCCTTCTCGGCTCTCCCTCGCGGTCTCTCCCGCACGTGCGTACGTGATGGCGAGAACTCGTCGATGTCTACCTGCGAGCGCGTTGCGAGTCGACAATATGCCCCGCCTGCGCCGTGTTTACACGGCCGCTTATCCGGAAGTGGCGGAAGTCAGTCGGTTTACAGTCGGTAAACACGACCACCTCGCCTTCCGTCCCGTTATCTTACCGGCCTGGGGACTTTCCCCTGGTTAAGCAGTCTCGACGTGTCGACGACGACGACTACGACGGCGATGACGACGTCGACCCTTCTACTTTGAGGTCGCGTCGTAACTCTCTCTCTCTCTCTCTCTCTCTCTCTCTATCTATCTATCTATCTATCTATCTATCTATCTATCTCTCTCTTTCTCTCTCTTTCTCTCTCGCGATGCTATCTGTGAGGAAACTTTGAACTTCCGGTGGGATCGGGGAATTCCTGATGACTCGGGGCGGCCGAGGGCGGTGGAAGCGTCGGCGAATCGAGTGAGTTCGTTATCGCGCGACACTGTCGCGTCTGACGACGACGATGGTGTTTAATTAAAAATGTGACGCTCTGGGAATTAGCACGCGAGACGTCTCTCTTCCTCCCCCTGCCCCTCCTCTCTTTCTCTCTCCGTCTCTCGGTACGGTCGCGTGTCGTTTTACAGCTCGAACTTCCCGTCTGGGAGAGCGAGAATGGAAGGAGAAACTTCCTTTCCCAGGTAACAATCCGAACAGCATTCGGCAGGGTAATTAAGAGTACTGAAATAGATCGGAACGCACGCGCGTTATCGTAATTTCCAATTACATCGTCGGCAGCCTTGTACTCACTAATGCAACACGTCGTCGCGAGTCGGCGCTTCGCGCGAATCGATATCGCTTTCAAGAGGCGAAAGTACGTTCATTCGTTAGCAACGTCGCCTCATGCGAACGCCGCTGATCGTCGCTCGAGAGCGCAACCGTTTTCTCGGAGACCCCGGCTGCTGTCACTCGCTGTCGCCGAGTCCTTCGTGATATCGGCTTCCCATGACGAGAGAGAATATTGGATGCTCCACAACGGCTCCAGATCGGCATACCTCCTCGGTTCACTCGCGCGCATTTCTCGCGCGCCGTCGAAGCGCGTCGCTGATCTCGCACGCGAAACAGCGCGTGTCGCCGAGAGAGAGAGAGAGAGAGAGAGAGAGAGAGAGAGAGAGAGAGAGAGAGAGAGAGAGAGAGAGAGAGAGTCGATCGAGGCGATGTGACGAAAAATCAGCTACGTGCTTCCTTCAGCCTCGGTACCCCTCGTCGATTCTCCTGGCGCGACTGCGAGGACGGGCGCGCATGTCGCTTCCACAGCGGAGATTGATTTCGCGCTCCATCTCGACTACGCATCGGTCCGTTTTGCGAACGTGCGCACACTTGCCGATAAAATTGCCGCGCGTCTCCTCCCTTCGACGTGCCGACGCGGCGCCGGCGGTAGCGCGGTGACCATCTTGATTCCGTATTCCAGCCCGAAATTCGTACAGCCTCGACAGATCTATTGCCGGTCGCGCTCGAATACGCCGCATCTCTGAGCGGTCGGCGTGTGTGTTCGCGCGCGCACACGCTCGGTCGGCCTGCATATTATATTATCTGGGTCCGGCTCGGCGATTCGCCCCGCGCTACAACACACAGTACGTATATACGACGTACATGCAGCATCCAGCCAGCGCGGGCGCGGGCGAGGGCGGGGGCGGGGGCGCTCCATATATCTCGCGCCTAAGCTGCGGCGAATGCACCGCGGCGAGCGAGAGAGCCGCCGGCCGGCCGGTCCAGCTGGCCTCGAGGTTATACGGCGCCGCGGCAACGAGATGCAGTTGCTTGCCGGAGGAGAGAAATGTTGTTACCGATAAAAAGAATTGCCCCGGATTAATCTGAATTACCCGCCGTAATTCCTCGCGCCGGCTACTACACACTCGTTGCCGCCGACCGCTGCCGTATTATCGCGAGAACACGCCCGCCTGACGGATCGCGAAGCCGCCGCCGAGGGCTCTCATTCAATCGGTCAGTTTTCCATTTCGCTCTCTTCCTGCACAGCGAGTTCCTGCACAGCGCCCCGACTATTCCGCAGTGTCGCGGCGAGTGTCACAGATCAGGCCGACTTTCTGCCTGAATGTTCATTCGAGGTCAATCAAATCCCCCCCCCCTCCCCCTTGCCACGCTGCTCTCTTCTTCCTGCAGTCGGGTCATGTATGCCTGCATTATTGCATATTTGTGATATCCTTCTTTTCGCGGTTTCGCCGGTGCAAGCGACGGTAATTGAGACACTAACAAGTAACACTACGCAACTGTCACTCACCGATTCCAATGAAATTTGGCATGCACGTGGAACATTGAAAAATATTGAACACATGTTTTTTTATATCGGCTGACAACGCATTTTAAGGGTGAAAATTACCCCTTGATCCCTGAACATGAAAGCACTAGTTCAACCCTTTGTACATATTACATGTGATTTCCGTCAAACTTGTCTTCCATTGAAGTCAGTAAGGGGTTTTTAGGGTTTTTAGGGTCGCTGATTACGAATCTGGAGATGAAATTACAAAAGTCCAGATGGCGGACCGAAATTGTAAAAAGATGGCTGATTCAAACCAACTTTGGTATCTGGAGGTTTCTGGGGCCTCTGATTACGAATCTGGAGATAAACTTACAAAATTCAAGATGGCGGAATATGACGGATGGCGGAATATGACGCAATATGACAGATCGAAATTGTACCAGTGAAGGAGGATATTGCCTCAGGCAATTACGTTTACTGAATTTAACAATGAGTCGGTATTCAAAATTGACCTGTCGCGTCAGTTTTTTTCAAATTAGAAAGTTGGTCTTCCAATATCTTATATAGGTATCTTATATAATTAATATCCTTGAAAGTTTACGATAAATCTTCTTCAAAATCTTACAAGTAAAACACATTACAATAATAATAATAATAATAACAATAAAGTGCGACAAACGAATTATATTTTGACTTCCAACTTCAGATTCGTAATTAGAGGCCCCAAAAACCTCCAGATACCAAAATTGGTTTGAATCAGCCATCTTTTTACAATTTCGGTCCGCCATCTTGGGTTTTGTAATTTTATCTCCAGATTCGTAATCAGCGACCCTAAAAACCCCCCCTTACTGACTAGTTCAATGGAAGACAAGTTTGACGGAAATCACATGTAATATGTACAAAGGGTTGAACTAGTGCTTTCATGTTCAGGGATCAAGGGGTGGTTTTCACCCTTAAAATGCGTTGTCAGCCGATATAAAGAACACGTGTTCGATATCTTTCAATGTTCTACGTGCATGCCAAATTTCATTGGAATCGATGAGTGGCAGTTGGGTGGTGTTACTTGCAAGATGAGAGCTGAGAACACAATTGTCTTCGCGATTACTTTTGTTCCGCGCGCACGAGGCATCGTCCGCTCGTGACGGGCGCAATATATCGGGTCTACGCATAATTCCGTAACGAAAATCGAATAAATTTCAAACGCGAAATATTTAGCAAGAAAAGCGATTTTAATCAACTAAATATGCTGCATTCTGTTCAATGACTTTCCGCCATCTCTCTTCACGAGCTTCATTATCCCTCTTTTATAGAAGTCCTGAGATCTTTGAGCAAAGAAGTCGTCCAAGTGGTTTTTGAGGATGTCCAGGGAACCGAAGGTTTTATTATTCAAATTGTTCCGTAGCGCCCGGAACAAGTGATAGTCTGAAGGTGCAAGGTCCGGACTATACGGTGGGTGCACCAAAACATCCCACCCAAGCCGCAATAACTTTTGCCGGGTCATCGGAGAAACGTGTGGTCTAGCGTTGTCCTCCTGATGGAACACACAACGCCCTTTCTGTTCGCCAATTCGAGCTGCTTCTGATCGATTGCTCGCTTTAATTTGGCCAGTTGTGAGCAGTACTTGGTCGAATCGATCGTTTTGATGGGTGACACCAGCTCATAATAGACGATTCCTTTCCAACCCCACCAGAGCATGTAACCTTCTCCGGGTGTAATCCAGCCTTTGCGACCGTCTGAGCAGCCTTCCCGCGCTTCGACCATGATCTTCTTCGACATTGTTGTGGAGAATCCACTCGTCATCGCCAGTGGATCATCCGCTTTAAAAATGGTTCGTTTTGACGTTTTGGCGTTTGAGCAGCAAATCGCAAGCTGAAATTCGGTCCATTAAATACTTTTCGCTCAGTTCGAGCGGCACCCAAATATACATCAAGCTTGTTTACCATCTCAAGCTTCCGTAAATGTCTCGAAACAGTTGACTGGTCAATGCTGAGGTCAATATCTCCGATCTCTGTAGTCGTCAAATGCCGGCCGGAGTCGACTAAAGCCTTGATTTGATCTCGACATCAGTAGTGGTGACTGGTCGACCAGAGCGAGGAGCATCTTGGAGATGAAAATCTCCGCAACGAAATTTCGCAAACCACTTCCGACATATACTTTCGCTTACGGTATCCTCTCCGTACACGGTGCATATCTTTTTGTGAGTTTGCGACGCGTTTTGGCCTCATCGGAAATAAAAAAGCGAAATGCACCGAAAGTACACGTTTCTTCCTTGCGTGTTCAAAATATAATTAAACTTCGTGTATACGTCACGGAATTATTAATTATTAATAATTCACTACGGAATTATGCATAGACCCGATAACACAACGTTTCGCAACGTGTTCTTGTCTTCGCTCTTTCCGATTCGAATATCGTGAACGGCTGCTGCGAGATGGCAGCGAGAAAGAGAGCAGAGCGGAGGAGGCCGCTTTGAGCGGGTTGAATTGACAGGATAACAGGCGATCGCGTGGCTGAAACAATGACGCCAAATGGATACATATTTACAGTCGTACGCGGCGTTAGCGTCCCCTCAGCGGCAGGAACGCGGGAACGCACGCGTTTCTCCATTCTGGCGTCATTGGTATGTGAAAGCTTAAAGTCTATCGCGACAGTGATTACGGGTTTCCTGCTCGCTACTCCCTCTCTCCCTCCCACCGCCGCTGCTATGCTCCCCGGCGCCGTTAATAACTCGATCGAAGTTTGCAGCGCGCGCAGAGAGGCGGAAGGTCGCGCTAACGAAGCCGGCAACCCCTAACGAGTATTAGGTGGGCTAATTTAGCGGGCGAATTTAGAGCCGCGCGCAGTCGGAAGATTATTTTCACGACGTACGTCGTCGCGGCGGCACGCTTCGCTCATTCTTCCATTCGCTCAGTATCCTTGTGACGTGATCCTTGCCGCATCGCATCAGCGCCTCCTCCGCTCCGGCGCTCTGCCGCTCGTTCCGGAGCGCGCGAAGAGTATACGAGTTTCATCTCGCGCTAGAGAAGTCGCGTCATTAATCACGGCCGAAGCTACGATGAGGCTTCGTCGCGAACTTTGGAAAACACGATCTCGCCGAATCCCGGCAGACAGCAGCGTGGCAGCGTTAAAAATAGTCTCCCCACCCCGGAAAGACGATCCTCAGCCGACCCACTTGCCGTGATCCTGCGAGACGCGGAAGGACCGTCTACTACGTACACCGGAGTGCTCATGGACTTTCCTTCGCGCCGTTGACCGAGCGAGCCGAGATATACGTATAACTGAGTAACGTGCGACGAAGCGAGGATATTTTGTAGCCGCGTAATCGGCCATTCGCGTCGCCGCCGTCGCGCATTCGGAATTCCACTCTCGTTGTATTCTCTATTTCCGCGAGCGCGCTAATGCGAGCTACAAGTGCAGTTTGCGAAATGGCACAGTAGTAATGCCGGAGTGGCGAGCTCTACGAGCGGAGCACGAGCCAGCTATGCAGTCAACCAGCCGCTACCTCCGTCGTCGAGAATCCTCGTCCATTGATACGCTTCGCTTGCGAAATGTCCTCTTTCTCGCCTCCCTCCCTCCCTCCCCCCCCCCCCTCTCTCTCTCTCTGTTTTCTCTGGTGCGTGCGGTATTAAGTGGAGCCGTTGTTACCAACAAACGCGCGATACTTCATCCGAATCCACTGTCCACCCTCGGTGGATGCCCCTCCCCTTTCCCCTCGGCGCGGCCGGCCGCCCGGCCGCGTCGTCCTGGTACATGATGCGTGCGGCAGACGCGCACGATTTAATACGTGATTTAATGCGCGCCAAACTCGTAACAAGTTCGACCGTTGGCGCACGGTTATTGCGTTCGTAATACCCGCATTAGGCGCATATTACGCCGGTGTCGATGACGCGCGAAACGGCGGATAACCGCGGATGGAGCGCGCGGGGTCTTTTGTTCGAATCGCGCGAACGATCGATTAATATTTCGCGATGATGCGCCATGAAGAATGGCAGGCTACGGCCGCGGTGTGTGTACACTGGTGCGTACGCTCGATGTAGAACACGCTGCGCGGCGTACGGGCGACGTGACGAATAATTCGCGTGACACGATTAACTCGCGTGCGGTCGCGCGACGTACAAGCAATCGGCCTTTTTGCCGATTAACGAGCGTGGCTCGGAAGCCGCGCGTGTTCGTTTGTCGGCCTTTTTTCTTTCTCGGCGTTTTCCAACGCCCCCCGTCGCTGCTGCAGTCGTCGCTTGGCGACCTTGCCTCGGATCGGGTGGTGGTCCGACTTGAATGCAGACTTGAACATGAAGGTTTCCGTCGAATCGCGATGACGAATAGAAAGTCACGCTTGTGTGACACGATTCAAATGAGAAAGTCCAAACTCACTTGATATTTTCGAGTCTAAAATCCGTATTCACGGTCGTCATCTGTGAAACGAGCCTTTTCACGGCCGAATCGCGATTATTAATACAAGGGTGTGCAAATGTTGCACGCTTCAGACGAGAAACTAAAGTTCAACTCTGCATTCGCGCATTCGCGAATATGTCACATGAGACAAGTTCGATCGTCGACGACTGTTGGAAACGAGAATCCCGCCCTTCGATATTCTCTCAAACTTCTTGGTGTCTTCGCGGTCGCGCGATCGCCGATATGATAGCCACGCTTTTAGCACGTTCTCAATCGTTTTTTTGCGCGATGTAATTGTAGAATGTGTCGCTTTTATTTGCAGGTAAGCAAGCATTCTGCTCCGCGACACCAGCCGCTCCCCTCGAACCGTGACGTCCATCGCGCAAATACGCACGTACGTATACGCAAGTGTTCACAGTCTTCTGTGCGCTTAAGGGGACTGAAGGGTCAGATTGCTGAAAAATCGTGTCTGTTTTTGATAATATTTTGTGACGAACTGAATAAATGTGCGAGAATGAAAATTTTAGGTATAGTTATACAACATGTGAAAAGTAGAAAAATTTTGTTTATTAACAAATATTCGTATAAATATACGATATATATAGCTGAAATATACTCTCCTTTTTTTTTTTTTCAAGTTATCGTTTTTGCAGTAATATCTCGGCTCTCGGTGGTCCGATCAGAGCGAATTTTAGCTAGAAATCTTGAGGAGGGGCTTATCATTATCCGGTGAACCATTGGAAAAAAGAATCGAACAAAATTAACAAAATGGCAGCTATCATTGGGAAAAAATTCAAATTTTTCAGTTCTTTTACAATAAAAAAAATTAATATCTCGAGATGAAATATTTTGACGGAGTTGTCCATGGTTCACCCGAGAGCCACATGAACAAATATTTATTGCTTTAAAGTTTCAAATCGATACGAAGCTCAGTTTCGGAGAAATCATTGCGAAAAGTTGAGGAATAAAATTTCGAGAAAAACGCGTTGAAAATTTAACTGGACGTATTATTTATACGGGTATTTGTTTAAAAACAAAATTTTTCTACTCTTCATATGTTATATAAATATATCAAACATTTTCATTCTCGCACATTTATTCGGTTCGTCACAAAATATTGTCAAGAAACAAGCACGATTTTTCAGCAGTAATCTGTGGTGTGACCCTCCAGAGTCCCCTTAACGAAGCGGAAGAATCGGCCAAGTCCGCCGCCGCTGTTGTCGACACGAACGGCGCGATATTTTGTACTTAGCGTATCGCGCGTTCTGCGCTACGCCAGAATGTATAATATTTACGTCATTAGTGTGCTCTCACATCTACACGCACGGTTCGGGATTCAATGGCGCGTGTTGCGGCATTTAGCGCGCAATTTATGCGCGCCGTGCGTGCACGAAAAATATCGTATTAAATATATCCGGTCTCATTGTGCCGTTTATCTGAATTTCCTTACTTAACGACACACCCTCGCGTTTCGCAACGCCATTTCCGCGGCCGGTAATTCGCCGATCGAGCGATTCGTCGAGCGATTCGTCGAGCTCGCGCGCGCGCGATCGTCAAACGCACCGCGTCGTCGAATGCCGCTCTCACGCCGCGGAAACGCTACAACGCGTTACGTTTAACACGTTTCCTAACGTTGACATCCGCGCAGCTACAGATAATGTGATACTTCATGGCGCCTCGCGCGTAAATGCGAGGCGAAATGGCGTACGTCGGTGGATAGGTGAGGTATGTATTACAGACGATAAACCGTCTTAATAGCGTCCGCGCGCACGGCTTTAGCTCGAAGTTGTTACCGCTCTCTGTATCGCGCAGTTACATCAAAATCTGCGATAGTCGCGTCCACAGAGATGGGAGGAGAGAAGGGGGAGGGGAGAAAAAGCGCGGAAACAACCCCTCGGATCGAAAAGCGCGTCCGGAGAAACGCGCGAGTTTGATACGACAGATCTCCTCCCGCCCGCATCCCCCCCCCCCGCATGCGCTGAACGGATAATTAATATTTAACAAACACGAGCAACTTTTCGAAGACTCTGGCGCCCGCGCACTGTGGAATTTGTTATTAACATGTTGCCCGTCAACGGGGACGAGGCTACCCGGTGTGATGTAATATTGGCGTGTCTCGCTAATTTACGTATAAAATGTATCAAATTGCATTAAATACACAGCCGATAATGAGCCGACGAAACGAGCCAACGAATGTACGTATCTTCGGTGATTGATTGGTTTGAAACTTTAGTTTGAAATAATTCATGGAAATGTCAGCGTCGCGTGCCAACATGCGACGCGATCACTACCGATTACCCGGCTCGTTGTTTTTGGAACGTGAAGGAGTTGGTTTAAGGGTCGAAGGATAACCGCGGGCGACGGATGAAGCACAGAGAGAGAGAGAGAGAGAGTGAGAGAGGGGTGCGTTGCGCGATGCAGCCGCATGCTTCGTCT